GATGTCGCACCCCAAACCTGCACCCGGGGATGCTCTGGCCGGCCCCACCCCAAACCCGCACCCGGGGATGCTCGGGCCGGTCCCACCGGGGGGATCTCAACCCAAACCCACACCCGGGGATGCTCCAGTGGGGTCCTACCCCAAACCCGCACCCGGGGATGCTCGGGCCGGTCCCTTGGGGGATGTCACACCCCAAACCCGCACCCGGAGATGCTCGGGCTGGTCCCACCCCAAACCCGCACTCGGGGATGCTCGGACTGGTCCCACCGGGGGGATCTCAACCCAAACCCACACCCGGGGATGCTCCAGTGGGGTCCTACCCCAAACCCGCACCCGGGGATGCTCGGGCCGGTCCCACCGGGGGGATCTCAACCCAAACCCGCACCCGGGGATGCTCGGGCCGATCCCACGGGGGACGGTCCCACCCCAAACCCGCACCCGGGGATGCTCCGGCCGGTCCTACCCCAAACCCGCACCCGGGGATGCTCGGGCCGATCCCACGGGGGACGGTGCCACCCCAAAATAACCTGGGAACGCTCCAGCCGCCCCGGCACGCACCGGTCTCGTAGTCCAGCGGGATCTGGATGTCGGTGATGTCTCCGAAGGGGATGAAGGCAGCGTGCAGCACCTTCTCGTCCACCTCCTCGGCCAGCCCGCCTGCGGGGCGGCCAAGCGGTCACCGGGCACCGCCGGCGGCCCCGGCCCCTCGGGGGTGCCCCAGCCCGGCCACTCACCCACGTACAGCACCCGCTTGGTGGCCGCCATCGTGCCCCGGTGCCCCGGAAGGGCTCGGCCCGCCCCGGAAGGGCCGCAGCGCTCCGCCCTCCGCCGGCACCGAGCGATGGAGCGCGGCTCGGATCGGCCACGGGACAGCGGAGCCGGCGCTGTGCACCCCCGGCACAGACACGGTTCATGGAAAATCCTTTCCTTGGGATTATTCCTCCTGAGAAGCTGAGAGGCCTCAGGAACAAAATGTAACCAATGGTTATCTGCTGCTGTGGGATGCAACAGGTGCATCTGGGATTGGGCTCATGTGGTTGTTTCTAATTCATGGACAATCACAGCCCAGCTGGCTCAGACTCTCTGTCTGACACACAAGCCTTTGTTATCATTCTTTCCTATTCTATTCTTAGCCGGCCTTCTGATGAAATCCTGTCTTCTATTCTTTTAGTATAGTTTTAATATAATATATATCATAAAAGAATAAATCAGCCTTCTGAAACATGGAGTCAGATCCTCGTCTCTTCCCTCATCCTCAGACCCCTGTGAACACGGTCACACATCCCTGTGTGAAAAACAAATGCGTATTTCATGCTTGGCTATTTGCAAATATTAAGATGGATTTTTAATGTGTTGTGTTAGAAAGTGATGTTGTGTTAATTCTCTTAAGCAGTGTGGTAAATATAGTTTTGGGTTATTACAAAATGTCAAAATAGAAACTATGCTATGTAGGATACTTTTTTTCCTAAAGAAAGGACTCGCAGCGAGGTAGCAGCCACAGGACACCTGAATCTTTCAGAGAAAGAGAATTTATTGCTCTATTATCAGGAGAAATGAATTTCTTCCTGCCTTGCTCAGCCAGGACGATGCTGTCAGGATTCAGAGGAAGAAGTTGACACTGACCAGACAGAATCCTGTGTTTGAATGGAATTTATGCATCATGTATGAGGTGTATTAATATGCAACAGGCTGTTGTTTTTAAGGGTTAATCCTCTCTTAACCTGTGTCCGTTTTCGGGCCTATGCTGCCCAGAAAAAGGTACCCAGATGTCCATAACTCTTTGTTTCTATTGTCTCATATTGTCCTAATTCAAATTGTCCAAAATTTTTATTACTCTGATTATATTGCTATTTTTATAACCATTTTATTACTGTTAAAAACTTTTAAAATTTTAAAAACAAGTGATTGGTGTTTTCCCACCTGCACTCTCCTTCCACCCCATCCCAGGCTTTCCCAAAGCCTCTGAGCCCTTCAGCTCCAGCCTGAGTGAGGTGGTGGAGCTTTGACTGGGGAGGATTTCTCCCAGCTCAGTGCATGCTCTGTGTTTGTCTGAATAATGCTTTTTATCCAAAAGGATCACCCAAAATAAGTTTGTAAAGGATTTGTCGATGCCAGTGGTAAAACTCAGCCAGCTTTGGAGTATAAAATAGCAGCAGGACCACTAAAAATGCAAAATTGTAAACAAGGAACAGCACAGGACAAAACCAGGCTGAACCCTTCAGTTGAAAACACCTCCCCAGCTCTTCCCAGATCACTGTTTACAGCCATCAGCCCTTGAGACACAGCCCCAGGCATGATTTTAAATACTCATTATCCAAAATGAGCAAGCAGAGTAAGTCAAATTCCTGCTTAATGTGTTCACCCCCCAGTAACTGCCCATCAGTTCAATTTCACAAAACCACACCACATTTATTTATCCAACAGAGAAATGATGACAAACACAGTGCAAGTTTATTCCTTTATTGATAAATGTTTCCCAAACTTTCCAAACTGGATTGTTCAATTAAACACAAACTCACAAAAATACTTCCAGCCTAAAATCCTCAACGTCCTCTTTAGAAGACACAAGGGGCAGCTCTGTTCTGGCAAAGGAAAAGCTTGCAAACCCCCCAGATTCTGGTTTTGGAAACCTCAAGCTTCAGAGTTGGCTTTTTAAATAAGAGATCTTTTAAGATTAATTTACAAAATGCAATATAACTATGTGATACAATGCATGGCCTTGAGATCTGCAGGGCAGTGAAGGATCTTCAAACATCTTGAGCTGATGTCTAGGAAGGGGCTATTTGGCTTCTTTGTATCCTAGAGGGGAAAAAGGGAGAGAAGTTATTCACAGCATCCATGCTCCAGGCTAGGGAATATTCCAGCACTGCAAGGAATAAGGATTCCAATATAATTGGGAAGGTACAGAGAAGCTGCTCGTGGTGGTCAGATGATCAGAAATTGTTATTATCCACAAGAAACTCAAATTCTTTGCCAGACCACCCAGTGAAAATAAGAATTCTTCACCAGCTTGAGTTCTGACATCTGATCATAAACAGCAGCAGAAAAAGTCCTGGAGATGGCAATTCCAGACAACGCACAGAAAAATGGATCATGAGAAACACAAGAGGCAAAATCCTTATTCATAAACTAAACAAGAGCCAACCCCAAACACAGGTGACACCACTTGTGTGGACAGACCTATCCAGTGAAACATTCCCAGCATTTATTATATCCTGAGGGCAGGTGGTTTCCAGGATAAGGAATGGGCACTAAGAGCCTGCTTAGCCTCAAAATGTGGCTAATTCCCACATTAGCAGTTCCACAACACCTCAGGGACTTCAATACCTTTAGATCCCTTAAAGAAGCATCAGAATGAACACTTCTTAACTTCTACACAAGTATTCTGCTGGGAGAAACTACATCAGGAGCTTTTTGTTGTTGAAGAGTGGACTGCAATCAGGTGAGTGCTGGTCACAGACCCACGTGAATTGTTTCACTACCAACTGTGTTTTATTTACTGATTCTGGAAGCTTTTCACTGAAGCTGAGGACTGAGACACTCACCAGTCATCCTGGTTCAAGAGGTAGCAGCAACCACACCCACTTTTTGGGCAGCTTCTTTCTTGGCTTGGTGAGCCTGCAGCACTGCCACAGCCTCCTCCACCTGGGGACACAAACCCAGTGAGATTTTCTCCCTGCTCAGAGGCCCTTTCTAGACACAAAAGGGACCCAGCAGCTCACCTTGGAGCGGAGGGACTCTGGAGATTCCAGCATGTGCAGCAGCTCTGAGTTGTCAATCTCTAGCAGCATTCCTGTGATCTTCCCAGCCAGGCTGGGGTGCATAGCTTGGATCAGAGGGAACAAACGTTCTCCTGAGGGAGAAAAAGGAGTTCAGGTGGGTGAGTTTGGATCCTTTGAAACCTCGAGGGATGAAAAATGATGGGTGAGCAGTGGGGTTTTACTCACCCAGCATCTGTTTCTGCTCCTGGGGAGGGGCAGCAGCCAGCATGGAGGCTGTCAGTGGCTCCTGGCCCTGCACATGCACTGCAGGCTGAGGTGCCTGAAAAGAGCAGAAAAGGGCTTTGAAATAAGGATGAGGCTGATTGCTTCGTATTTAGACAATTCTAAGATGCTCACTGCTAAAACACAATCTCTGTCAAGCCTACAGAACACCTCAGCTTCAGAAAAGGGCAGGTAAGGTGCCCTTGGTTCACAAACACTGCCTGCAAGTCTTGAGCTCAAAACTCAGGAATGCCACACAGGAACACCATAAATATCTTGCAAAAAACTGGATCAAACATCATGAGATGTTGAGAAAGCCAGGTGTAGATGGTGCTCTTTCTCTTAATGATACCCCAGTGAGAACTTGGCAAAGAGGAGAGAGACTTAAATGGTTTCAGAACAGGAACAAAGAACCAAGGAAAAAAATATCCTTACACCAGTCTGGCTACAAAAGGGCTTGTGAGTACAAGACAGATAAACCAACCAGGGTGCCCCTGGCAAAGGCACAACTGCCAGGTTTTTAAATTCCAAATTAGGATTGTCTGGGTCATAAAAGGAGCTTGAAGTCTCTATAAAAGTACTCCAGTTGCATGTGAACCTGCAGGGACTGCCCAGCCCAGCCCAGCCCTGGTGGTACCTGCAGAGGTTGGACACCTGGGTGTGGGCTGCGGACACTTGAGGCATATTTGTAAGGAGGGACAGCCCTGGGAGCAGGGGCAGCTACAGGAGGACGGGGAGCCAAATTCTGTGCTGCTGTGCCAACACCTGCAAAGGAAGGAGAACACGGTGACAAACACCTGCAGCAGCATGCTAACAAGCTGGGATGTCTGGTTTTAATTCAAATTACGGCCTGCATGGTGATACTTCTTTAGAAAGTGTAGCTGGCTACTTCAAGAAGGGGATGTTCTGCCTAGAACCAATCCATAGATTCCACACCTTTTATTTACCAGCTGGGAAAAAAAGAATTTGGGTGCTCTCCTCTGAAAGCAAAACCCCTAAGTCACAGAGATTTTTGGGTGGTGTTGCAGGGGTGTAGAGATAAGTCCCAAACCAGTGGAGAAGAACCCATCTGGATTTCCACTGCTGTGCTGTAGCACCGAGTGCCCCCAGACCCGCACTGCACAGCGAGGAACAGGAAAGCAGCAGGTGCTGGCTCTAACAACCATCTCTGGGACAAGAAGCCAAGTCTCCACAGCACCCTCCTCCCTCCCAGAGAAGGGGAAAAGCCCAGGAAGAGACCCCATCTTACCAACTCTCTGGGCAGCAGCGGGGAGGCCACGGGAGGCCGGGGCATTGGCGGGGGCCAGGTGGCGCAGGGCGGGCCGGGGCCCTGACTGGCGCATGGCGTTGGGCATTCCCTGGAAACCTAAAGGATGGAAAGAGGGGGAATCCTCACAAGAGAACCAGCTAGCAAGGCAGGACAGTCAGCTACAGGGGTGTGCTACAGGTGGTGCACTGTAGCCATGGTATTTTCTGAAAAATCCCTTCCTACAGTCAGCTACAGGAGTGGTGCACTGTAGCCATGATATTTTCTGAAAAATCCTTTCCTTAGGATCTTTTTCTCCTGAGAAGCTGAGAGGCTTCAGGAACAAAATGTAAGCAATGGTTATCTGCTGCTGTGGAATGCAACAGGTGCATCTGGGATTGGGCTCATGTGGTTGTTTTTAATTAATGTCCAATCACAGCCCAGCTGTCTCGGACTGTCTGGTCAGTCACAAGATTTTATTATCATTTCCTTCCATTCCTTTCCTTGCTAGCCTGATCAAATAATTTTCTTCTATTCTTTAGTGTAGTTTTAATATATAATTTTATTTTAATATAATATATATCATAAAATAATAAATCAGCCTTCTGAAACATGGACTCAAGATTCTCCTCTCTTCCCTCATCCTGGGACCCCCGTGAACACCACACCACAGTGCACAGGGAGAATCACAGAATATGCTGAGTTGGAAGGGACACACAAGGATCAGAGTCCAGCTCCTGGCCCTGCACAGGACCATTCCCACAAAGGAAAGCATCAATTGTTCCTGTTGGGAAGTACAGCTCCCAAAGGGTTCTACAACCAAAACAGCCTCTGGCACTCTCACCTTGAGGTCTCCCTCCTTGCTGCCATCGTGGGTTGGGTCTCATCTGTGTCATTTGGTTGGGTGCATAGTAAGTGGGTCTGCTCTGAGCCTGGAGGAAGATCAGATAAGCTCAGAGGCAACATCCAAGTGCATCACAAACATTTGTTTACAACGTGTTTTGGCAGCCGTTGCCAGGACTCAACATTCGGGTCGGATTAAGAGAACAGGCAGCTGGCAAGTCCCAGAATTAACTCCACTGCTGCACCCCTCATTAGGACTCGTTGCTTCCAGGCATGAGAAGGGCTCAGTGAGATTAACACAGGTTAAAAACCCCACGGGAGCTCACCTGGGGCACAGCAGGCATGAAGTAGCCGCCAGCAGCGGGCTGGAACTGGTTGATGATGGTGTTGGCAGGCAAGGCCCTCATGCCAGCGATGCGCTGCATGTACTGGTTGGTGAGATGGGCCTTCCTCTCCTCCTTCCTCTGGGCCAGAGCCACGTAGAGGGGCTTGGAGCCCACAATGCGCCCGTTCATCTCTGTCACAGCTTTGGTGGCCTCCTCTGGAGAGGAAAAGCAGACAAAGCCAAAGCCTTTGCTCCGTCCATCTTCCAGCATCACCTGCAGTAAAGATCAATTGCTAATGGGGTAGCAGTACAACTGAGCTGAGGAATCTGTGGGGTTTTTTTAGATTTTAGGTAGCACATAACTTGTTGCAGAGGTGTAGAGACAGGTTCTCATGAAGAGCCACCTGTCTGGATTTGCTCTGCGTTGCTGTCAGCACCATGTGTCCCCAGGCCCACACTGCACAGTAAGGAATGGGAAAGATTTGGTGCAGTCCTAAATGCACAGAGGAAAGTGTCATTTCATGCTTACTACCTCAAGCAAGCATGGTTGCCACTTCCTTCCTCCCCTTTTAGTAAGGGAATGAAGTTTTTAGTAAAATCCTACTATTTACTAGCCAAGGTGTTCTCAGAATCACAATAGCCACAGGTTAAGAACAGCCCTTTAATCCCATGGCAGACAATAACTCCTTCTTCAGGCTTTAAAATCCAAATGACCCCCAAAATCCCACAGTACCTTGGCACTCGTTATTGACCCAAAAGGTGAGAACTCCTTCCTCAGTTTTTCATCATCTATAGTGTCATCTAGGTTTTTAATGTACAGGTTAACACCCTGGAAAGGGAAAGAACAGCATGACATTCACAACATTAAAAAAAAAAAATTCTTAAGCACATCAACTGTTATCCATCTGCCAGAGCTGTAATTTATCTGAAAACTCTTAATTTAGCATCATGTTCCTTCCACACCACCCAAAGCTGAAGGTGATAAATGTTGCAAAGGCGTAGAGACAAGTCCCACTGTGGTGAAAGGGAACTTGTCTGGATTTCCTCTGCCTTCCTGTGGCATCATGAGATGTCCCCAGCCCAGCAGTGCACCTCAGGGAGTGGGGGAGTTTCAGATGCCACCCCTGACACGACCCAGTTCTGCCACAAATTACAGAGAGCAGTGCAGAGTTGTGCTGTCTCTTCCCATCCCTCCAGGGATCTCCATTTGAAAGTCAAGGAGACTTCATGCCTGTTGTCCTCCTAAACATTTTCAGTACCAAAACTAAGCCCTGATGCCCCCTCTGCCACCAAATACCACAGAGACACCTCTGTGTTTTAAGCCAGGATGTCTCACAGGACAATAACTGCTCTGGGAATTCCTTCAACAGATCAGAAAAATAGTGCTTAAATTGAGAAAAATAAACATTATTCACCTGGTACCGGCTGAGCCTCTCCTGTTTTAGCTGTTCAAACCTTCTTTTCAGCTCTGCCTGGCGCTCAGCCTTCTTCTGTGCTCTGCCCACAAAGAGCATTTTCCCATTGATGTCCTTCCCATTCATTTCTTCCACTGCCTGCACAGAGGGTTTAAGAGGAAACTCTCAGCTGCTGCAGCAGGACAGCCCCTGATCCTGTCAGAGCAGGACTGCCCAGGGCTGACACTGAGTCCCTGCCTGTCAGTCAATAAATCAGAGTTTGCATGTTACCTTTGCACTTTTCCTGCTAACAACAGGCTCATTAAAGACAAGTTTGTCTTCTTTGTGAAGTTACCACACAGACCGAGCTGACACGCCACAGTGCTGAACTAACTTGGAAATTCATCCTCTCTCTTTCTTGTAATTAAAACTACACTTTAACAAGCATTCTGCTTAGAAAAGACCATTTTTGAGCAATATTCTCACTCTAGGTGCCCTCCTCCTCCTCCTCCAGCCCTGCACTGTAGTATTTCTTCAGCAATTAACATTCTTGATTATACCACTGTGTGGATCTAGGAAACTGGAGGGATGCCAAGCTGCCCTTGAATGTCAAGCTATTAAGGTGCAAAAGGTTTCCAAGTTCCCACATCTAGAAGAGGTCATGCCCAAGGCAGAATTTCCTTCCATTTCAGAAACAGGCTCCCAAGATAAACCAAGTTTTTCTTCTCTGAAGTTATCTAAGCAACATAAAAACTGGTCATACCTTGTTGGCCTCTTCATGCTTTTCAAAGCTTACAAAGCCAAAGCCTTTGGATTTTCCAGTGGGGTCTGTCATCACTTTAACACTCAGAGTTTTACCTGTTATCAAGGGACAGGGTTAGTAAAATATCAAAAGCATTTCAAGATTATTAAATTCCATGTAATATCTCCTCATGTCCTCAGCCTTCAAGTGACCCAGGTAGCGACAACACAGCAGCACTGAGTCCACCACATTTGATGAAATTCACAGCCTTAATAAAAGTATTTCTGTACTTACCATATTTGCCAAAGAGCTCCTTTAGTCTTTCATCATCCATGTCATCCCCAAAGTTTTTAATATAGACATTGGTGAATTCCTTCGCCTTGGCTCCCAGCTCAGCCTCCCTCTCTTTACGAGACTTGAATCTCCCAACAAATCTGTAAGATAAAAAAAAAAAGAAAATCCCAATAAACAGATTGGTTCCAAAAGCAAAAAAAATAATGTGTGACTTGCGGCGAGGCAAAAAAAATGAGTGTGCAGTAGGAGCTGGGAATGGGGACAAGAAAGGGTGACAGCAGAGGACAACAAACAGGCCACAGACCAACCAGAAAAATCACCTGTGCTGTGGCTGGCCAAGGAGTCCCAGTGGCCCTAGACAGAACCCACCCCAGCCCGCTCGCAGAGAGGTGGCAAATCAAGGCTGGGTCAGGGAAACCCAGCAGTCCTGGAATGGAGGGGTAGCAGGCCATGGCTTGGGCAGGGTCACTCACCAGCCCTGGAGTGGAGAGGTAGCAGGCCAAGGCTTGGGCCAGGAGAACCAGTGCCTTGTGTGTCCCTGTTAATACCGAGATGCATCCCGGAGCATGTGAGCGCTGCTGCTGCCGCCTGTGACACTCACACTTTGCGGTCGTTGAGCAGCATGCCGTTCATCTTCTCGATGGCCCTATCTGCAGCATCCTGCGTCTCAAAGTGCACAAAGGCGTAGCCCTTAGAGCCATTCTCATCACACACCACCTGCAGGAGAGGGAGCAAAGGCAGCTGTCAGCGTCCCTCCTCTGCCACAGGGTGAAAATGCGTCACTGCCAAGGGGCAGCACCGGGCAGATCCCGACTGTCACAGACACATTTTATGAAAAATCCTTTCCTTAAGATCTTTTTCTCTCAGGAACAAAATGCAAACAATGATTATCTGCTGCTGTGGAATGCAACAGGTGGATCTGTGATTGGTCTCATGTGGTTGTTTCTAATGAATGGCCAATCACAGTCAGCTGGCTCAGACTCTGTCCGAGACACAAGCTCAGACTCTGTCCGAGCTCAAACTCTCTGTCCAAGACACAAGCTTTTATCATCATTCCATTCTTTTTCTATTCTTAGCCAGCCTTCTGATGAAATCCTGTCTCCTGTCTTCTATTCTTTTAGTACAGTTTTAATATAATATATATCATAAAAGAATAAATCAAGCCTTCTGAAACATGGAGTCAGATCCTTGTCTCTTCCCTCATCCTCAGACCCCTGTGAACACCACCACACCTGACAAGGGTCAGCTCCTAACAAGGGTCAGATTCCTGCACTTCATGACCAAATCTGATGTAATTTCAGCTTTT